GTTTCTGGCGACCTATGGGCTTCCCATAGTTCTGCATGATGAGCCCGCCCGCCGCCGCGAATTATGGGAAACCCACATGTTGCCAAATTCCCGATGGGTGACAGGCGACCGATGGGTTCGCAATAATTCGAACCTGGACCCCGCTCGCCGCCGCGAGTATGTTGCCAGATTACCGATGGGCTTCTGGCGACTTATGTATTCACCATAATTCGAAATCTGGACCCCGCCCGCCGCCGCGATTTATGGGAAACCCATAGGTCGCCAGATTCCCTAAGGGTTTCTGGCGACCTATGGGTTCCCCATAATTCTGAATGATGACCCCGCCCGCCGCCGCGAATTATGGGAAACCCGCATGTTGCCAAATTCCCGATGGGTGACAGGCGACCGATGGGTTCGCAATAATTCGAAACCTGGACCCTGCCCGCCGCCGCGATTTATGGGAAACCCACAGGTCGCCAGATTCCCTAAGGGTTTCTGGCGACCTACGGGTTTCCCATAATTCAGAACCTGGGCCCCGCTCGCCGCCGCGAGCTATGGGGAACCCATAAGTCGCCAGCTTCCCTAGGGGTTTCTGGTGACCTATGAGTTTCCCATAATTTGGAACCTGGACCCCGCTCGCCGCTGCGAAGTATGGGAAACCATCGGTCGCCAGATTCACTAAGGGTTTCTGGCGACCTATGGGTTTCCCAAAGTTCTGAAGTATTACCCCGCCCGCCGCCGCGAATTATGGGAAACCCAAATGTTGCCAAATTCCCGATGGGTTTCTGGCGACCGATAAGTTCGCAAAATTTCGAACCTGGACCCCGCTCATCGCCGCGAGTTATGGGAAACCCATAGGTCGCCATTTTCCCCAAGGGTTCCTGGCGACCTGGGGCTGCTCATAATTCGAACCTTGACCCCGCGCACCGCCGCGAATTATGGGACATCCATAGGGCGACAAATTCCCTCGGGATTTCTGGCGACCTATGGGTTTCACATATTTCGAAACCTGGACCCCGCCCGCCGCAACGATTTATGGGAAACCCAATATAGGTCGTCAGATTCCCTAAGTGTTTCTGGCGACCTATAGGTTTCCCAGAGTTCGGAACCTTGCCGCCGCTCGCCGCCGCGAATTATGGGAAATCCATAGGCCGCCATATTCCCTAAATGTATCTGGCGACCCACGGGGGCCCTATCATTCGGAACCTGAAACCCGCCCGCCGCCGCGAAGTATGGGAAACACATAGGTCGCCAGCTTCCCTAGGGGATTCTGGTGACCTATGAGTTTCCCATAATTTGGAACCTGGACCCCGCTCGCCGCTGGGAAGTATGGCAAACCCAATAGGACGCCAGATCTCCAATGGGTTTCTGACGACGTATGGGCTTCCCATAATTCGGAACCTGACACACCGCTCGCCGCCGCGAGCCATGGGAAACCCATAGGTCGCCATATTCCCTACGGGGGTTCTGGCGACCTACGGGTTTCTCATATTTCGGCAGGGGCAATTCTGGGAAACCCATCGGTCGCCAGATTCCGTATGGGGCGTCTGGCGACATATGGGTTTCACATAACTCTGCGGGGACAACTCTGTGAAACCCATAGGTCGCCAGATTCCCTACGGGGTTTCTGGCGACCAATGGGTTTCAGTAAATGCGGCGGCGGCCATTCTGGGAAGCCCATCGGTCGCCAGATTTCCTAAGGATTTCTGGCGAGCTATGGGCTTCCCATTCGACGGGGACAATTCTGGGAAACCCAGAAAGGTCGCCAAATTCCCTGCTGGCTTCTGGCGACCTATGGGTTTCCCACAATTCGGCGGGGGCAATTCTGGGACACTCATAAGTCGCCATATTGCCGAATGGCTTCTGGTGACCTATGGGTTTCCCATAAGCCGGCGGGTGCAATTCTGGGAAACCCATAGGTCGCCAGATTCCCTCGAAAGATTTCTGGCGACCTATGGGTTCCCATAGCTCGGCAGGGACAATTCTGGGACACCCATAGGTTGCCATATTCCCTCGGGGTCTCTGGCGACCCATGGGCTTCCCCTAATTCGACGAGGACGATTCTGGGAAGCCCATAGGTCGCTGGAGAATTCTGGGAAACCCATAGGTCGCCAGATTCCCTAGGGTTTCTGGCGACCTATGGGTTTCAGTAAATCCGGCGGCGGCCTTTCTGGGAAGCCCATCGGTCGCCAGATTTCCTAAGGATTTCTGGCGACCTATGGGTTTCCCATAATTCGACGGGGACAATTCTGGGCAACCCAAAGGTCGCCAAATTCCCTGCTGGCTTCTGGCGACCTATGGGTTCCCCATAATTCGACGGGGGCAATGTTGGGAAACCCATAGATCGCCAGATTCCCTAAGGGCTTCTGGCGACCTACGGGTTTCCCATGAATTCGGCGAGGGCAATTCTGGGAAACCCATAGGTCGCCAGAATCCCTAGGGGTTTCTGGCGACCTGAAGGTTTTCCATAGTTCGACGGGGCAAGTCCGGTCGCCAGATTCCCTGCAGGTTTCTGGCGACCTATGGATTTCCCACAATTCGGTGGGGACTGTTCTGGGAAACCCAGAGGGCGCTGGATTCCCTCGGGGTTTCTGGCGACCTATGAGTTTCCCATGCCTCGGCGGGGACAATTCTGGGACACCCATACGTGGCCAAATTCCCTTCGGCGTGGACGCTTCTGGGAAACCCACAGGGGGCGAGATTCCTTGGGGTTTCTGGCGACCTATGTGTTTCCCATACTTCGGCGGGGGCAGTTCTAGGAAACCCATGGGTGGCCAGATTCCTAAGGGTTTCTAGCGACCTAGGTGCTTCCCATGATTCGGCAGGGGTAATTCCGGGAAGCCCATAGTTCGGAGGGGACAGTTCTGGGAAACCCATGGGTGGCCAAATTCCCTAAGGGTTTCCAGCGACCTATGTGTTTCCCTTGATTCGGCGGGGGCAATTCCGGGAAACCCATAGGTCGCCAGAAACCCGTATCTCGCCAGGTTCCATGAAGGGTTTCTGGCGACCTATGGGTTTCTCATAGCTCGGTGGGTGCAATTCTGGGAAACCCATAGGTCGCCATGTTCCCTAGAAAAAATTCTGGCACCTATGGATTTCCCATAGTTCGGCGGGGACAGTTCTGGGAAACCCGGAGGGCGCCGCATTCCCTCGGGGTTTCTGGCGACCTATGGGTTTCGCATAACTCCAGGACGAGTTTTTTAAGGTCGTGGGGCTCGCGTCTGACTCCCTGCGACCTCGGGTTTCCCATAAGTCGCCTTTGGAAATTGCCGAAGTATGGGGAAACCATAGATGGTGGGCAGCACACCAACTGCAGTGGTAGAATAAGAGGAGGGCGAAAACTTTGTGGAGAATGAGGAGGACCAGTCTAAACCCAAGACGCGTCAACAATGATGCAATGCACCTTCCCTCTCAATTCCTCGCTGCAGGAATATTGTTTGATTGCGGGGAATGCCCCATTCAACTTATACCGTTTGGCAACCCTCAATGGTGCCAGAAGGCCGTTCTTAGGACTTTACCACCTCGAATCAACGTAACTGTTGAGTTCTGGCAATCCTCAATCGCACCAGAACGCCATTCCTGGGACTTTAACACCGCGAATCCACGTGTCTGTTGCGCCCTTACAATCCTAAATCGTGCCAGAACACCAGTCCAGGATCTCTTGAGCTGCTGCAGACCTTTAAACCGAATGTGCGCGGCGCTGAAGTGAGAGCCACACGTTGAAACGGCGCCCTCTATCTTTGAAGCTGCAGCGAACTCTGAAGACGATGCTTACCGGCGCTAAGGCGAAATCCACGTTTTGAAAACGATCCGCCCTCCATCTTTGCACCTGTTGCGGTTGCAAGCTTTTAGAACGACTGCGTGTGGCGCTAAGGCAGTAGCCACATGCTGAAAACGACCCGCCCTCGGTCACTCTATCCTTGAAGCTGCGGCAACCTTTTAAGACGAATGCGCGCGGCGCTAAAGCGAAAACCACATGTTGAAAGCCACCCGCCCTCCATTCTTGAAGCTGCTGTAGAGTTCAAGCTTCAGGATAATGCGTGATGAGGAAGTATCAGGCGAAACGCCCAGCCCGCCCGTACCGACAAGTCTGGAGAGGACAGGGATGATGATGGAGAGAAGGAGGAGGAGGGGGAGGGGGAGGAGGACGGAGGAGGAGGAGGAAACGGAGAAGGACAAGAAAAAACAAAAACTGCAAAATACTAACCATCTACCTGCACCGATGCAGGCCAGGCTGGCCTGGGGCTAAGACTGCTGCTGGGACGGCGTCCTTGACGATGTGGGAGGCACGGCGTGGACCATCTAATCTTGAAGGGTCTCCGCTCTCAAGGGTCCCCTGGGGCTGTCGGCGCCATCTTCCGCATGTGTTTCGCGCCGTGGGTTGGTTTCTGTGGGTCCCAAGGCACGTTCGCGCCTCCCGCAGGATGTTGAACCTCGAAAGCGCGCTGGCGTCGCTGCCACGTAGAGGCGGCACAAGCCTGCTGTAGGCGGATAGCTGGCGCCTCCCGAAAGGAGGAAACACTCATTGCGATCGCGCGATCGGTGGGCTTTGAGTGCCCGGCCCAGTGGCAAACCGTGATTGGGTTGGCCAGCGTGGCTGGGAGCGCCAAGGGGTGGATCAGCTTCGGGAGTGGGTTGAACTCGCCAGCAGTGGGACTGAGGAGGAGGAGGAGGAGGAGGAGGAGGAGGAGGAGGAGGAGGAGGAGGAGGAGGAGGAGGAGGGGGATGAGGACCCCACTGGGATTGCCTTCTGAACCTTTTCTGTGTCTGGGCCTATCCGGCTGCCGAGTGGACTTGGGACCGAGCCCGTTCGGCTGCCCACTCGGCACTCGAACGGGCTCAGGTGCCGAGTGAACGGGCTCAGAAGAGAACCGACGAGCCGTAGCATGAGCATGCGGAGGTCCAGGGGAATTTCTGCGAAGGCCTCCTGGGTTTTGGGGCCTCCCAGAAGCCTGAAGCACCTCTGGAAGCGGCGGTTGCCGCTCGAGTCTGGGAACCAGACGACGTATGCGTCGAGGAAATTAGCCCAAGCGCTGTCCCACTTGTCGTAGCACTCCTGGAAGGGATCCTCTGCGGGCGGAGCTGGCTGCTCCAGGTACTTGAAATCCGGTGGGAAATCGGGGATGAAGAAGGTGTCGAAACTCACGGAGGCTCGCTGCAGCGACTGCAGTGGCGACCCGGTCAGCTTCTCGCGCCTGCCCTCGTACACGAGGGTATTGTGTTTCTTGCTGAGCCCAGGGTCCACTCCAACCACGATGTCGTCGTCCTGGTGCCCGCCCTTGTGCGGGGAGCCGAAATGGGAGACTGGCTCAGCGGGGGGGGGGACACGTCGCCCTGTCATCGATGATACGTCTCCGATACTTTGGCGAAACGACCCCTCGGTGGCGAAACAACATCATTTTGTGTCGTGCGGGGCATGAACAGCCCCCATCGGCAACGGATGCGCGATTGGAAACTAATCGCTTCCAGGCTCGACCAGGCAGGGTCTTGAGCCCTGGGGGCCAGGGCATCATTCTAACCCGAAGGTGCATTTGCGAGTTGGGCAATGTAAATCCCACCAGCTCTTTAGGGCGCGAGTGGTTTAGAACGCTTCCTCTTCCAACCCCCCTTCTTCCCCTTCGGGGAGGGGTTTATCACTATCCCCAATTCATAAGCGCCCCCTCCCCCAGGCGACCGGCAGCCAACCAGGACCAATGCACCCCCCCTCTATCTGTCAAAAAAAAACGAAGCACACTTTGGGGCAAACTCGTGGGTCATGCTCGTGGGCCCCGCGAACACTTTGCATCTGTTTTTGACCAGGACGGCGGGGGTGTCCTTATTTTGCCTGCCTTGCGCAAGTCCAACATCCCTGTCAAAAATGCAACATGCACTTCGCGGCTACATCTGGATCATGCGCGGCCGCCCCGCGACCTCCGTCCACTGGTGTTTGACCAGGACCGCGGGAGTGCTGATATATTGCCTGCTGTGTGCAAGCCCACCATACACCATCCCCGCCGCAATTGTGCACAGGTTTTCGGCGAGGACGGTGGCTGCCGACATGTTTCCTTATGTGTGCTGTTACGTGCGCGGGCGCACCTGGCACACTCTACGCGTGCCCCAGACGTGGCGCACCTGGCGCGGCTGGACCATGCGGCACGCATGGAGCACTTGGAGCACGTGCGCATCTAGCGCGCGAGGCGTGCCTGGCACGCTTGGGCCCCAGGGGTGCCTGGCGCAGTTGGAGCGCCTGGCACGCGTGGCGCACGTCGCCCCATCGCGCACATGGGGTCTGCATTGGTTCACAAGTTGCTGCCCATCCATAGACGATCGCTGAACATGCTGAGGCCCGGGTTCTACTTATGTGTTGGGAGGGCGGGTGGGAGTGAGCGAGGCAGCTTTCGGGCGTGGAGGGTGTCTTGACCGCTCCCCCTGCCCCTTCCCAGGGATCTGGACGGGGCGTTTCGCGAGGGGTTGGAGAGTCCAAGGTGGCCTCGGCGACGAAGCCACAGTCATTGATTTTACTCAGGTTCTGGCCACATGTTGGCCCCCTCGAAGGGGACCTTAGTTAGGGACCCCCCTTCCTTTGATCGATCTCCCCCAATATGGCCCGTGAGGTTCCCAAGGGTGCCCCAAGACGGCCCCAAGAAGTGCCTAGGAGGGCCCATGAGGCTCCCAAGAGGCCCCCACGATGCCCCCAAGAGGCTCCCAAGATATCCCCAAGAGGCCTCCCAGAGGCACCCAAGAGGCCTCGGCGAGAAGGCCAGTCTCATGCATTCAAACAATTATCTGGCAACTTTTTGGTCTCCTTGGGGGGGTGGGGGGCAAACGACGTAGCCACTCTCCTGTGATCGATCTCCTCCAAGCTGGCCCCAAGATGGCCCCCGAGGCTCCAAAGGGTGCCCCAAGAGGTGCCCAGGAGGCCCCAAGAAGCCCCAAGAGGCCCCCACGATGCTCTCAAGAGGCTCCCAAGAGACCACCAGGAGGCCCCAAGAGGCACTCAAGACGCCCCAAAGAACCCTCGGCGAGAAGGCCAGCATCATGGATTTTACTAAGGTTCTGGCCACATGTTAGCCTCCTGGGGAGGGGACCCTCAGTAAGGAGCCCCCGTCCTTTGATAGATCTCTTCCAAGATGGCCCCAAGATGGCCCGCGAAGCTCCCAAGGGTGCCCCAAGACGGCCCCAAGAGGTGCTCAGGATGCCGCAAGAGGCCCCCAAGATGCCCCCCAAGAGGGTCCCAAGAGACCCCCAAGAGGCTCCAAGAGGCTCCCCAGATGCACCCAAGACGCCTCAAGAGGCCCCCAGGACTGCCAAGAGGCCCCTAAGACGCACCAAGAGGACTCCAAGAAACTCTCGAAAGAAATCCGAGGAGCCTCCGAGAGGCATCCAAGAGGCCTCTGGCCTATCTGCTCGCCTTCCTCCTCCTCCTCCTCCTCCTCCTCTTCCTCATCTGCCTGTTCCTCCTGCTTCCTCCTCCCCCCTCCCCCTCCCCCTTCCCCCTCTCCCTCCTCACTCACCCCTCCTCCACCTGCTCCTCCTTCGCTTCCTCCTCCATTCTCCCCCCCTTGGGGCACGACCTCCTACCCGGCCCTCTGTTCCACTGCATCCCCCCCCCACACCCCTGATCAGGGCAGCTCGCCTGGGCATCGTTTCTGGATGGGCTGGCGGGATTATTTTTTCTTTTTCGGTCGCGGCCACGAGACAGAGGTCAGGCGGCGAGAAGCAACGTCCGGGACACGAACGAAGCTAATTAGCTACAGCAGGCACAGGCCGGCCGGCCCGCTCACAGAGCAGCCGAGAGCTGCAGGGGAGCTGACGGCGGGGATATCCTGCGAGCTCGAGCACGTGCACAGACAAAATGTCATGGAATCCGGAGCCTGCCACAGTATGAAACGTGAACCAGGATAACCAAGCCCGTCAATCCGAGTGGAGGCGCGACCCACACAGCAGAAACGTGAACCAGGATGGTCAAGTCCGTCGTGCTGAATGAGAGCAAGTGGGGGGGGCCATTGGAGTGAGTCGCCAATGGGGCGCCAGGCTCCACACGCCCGGACGCCTGAGCTAGCCAGAAAGGCTGAGCTGTCGTGAGCCGTGGTGCAACGCAACTGGGGAAAGCTGAAGGTGAGCCTGGAATGCTGGACCTGCTGCGGAAGGCTGAACCACTCTGCAACGAAGTCAACACTTGTCAGATCACCCCACCGCGCAAGGGGGAACCGAGCGACTGTGAGCCTCGCAGTGCGTGCCGGCAAGGCGTCAGGCCTCTGAGTGGGGGGGGAGCCAGCTGGCGTGGACAGCATCGCCAGCGGGGAAGAGTAGAGGGAGCTGCTGGCGGGATTACTTTTTGGTTGGCGACTCCTAGGCGACCGCCTAGGAGCGAAAGCGACGTCCGGGGCGGCGGAACGGTGCGAATTTGCGAACACAGCCGCCAGTGTCGGCAAGCCAGCTCGCATAAGTACAACAGGCAAGCACCTGCAGTAAGACATGCCATGAACGCAAACGCACGTGCAATACGCAAAATGCTGGCGGGATTACGCGAAGCGTCTAGAATATGCTCGGCTGGTGCAGACATCCACGCGCACATAACGCGTGGATCTCCGAGCGCTCGTGGGCCGTCCCTTGGCCGCCCCTGGCCTGCTCGTCCTGAACAGTCAGCTTGGTCGCCGTCTCGCACGCCGCTCTCTTGGCCGACTTGCCGTAGCGGGTCTTGTTCAGGTCGAGCTTGAACTCGCCCAAGAACTCCGTGGGCACGGCGTCGAAGTGCCATATCTGGATCTCCAGGTAGCCCTTGGACTCCATCTCGCGAGGGAGCAGCTGCTGGTAGTACTGAGGATTTGTCCTGAGCACTTTTTGGTGCTACTTTGTTCTCCAAGCGGCTCTTACTTCGCAGCCCTGAGCAGCTGCTTGCGTTCGCCGAGGTCTCGCCCGGTGACCGCCCGTGGGTGCCCCGCGCGCCGGCTGGGTCTGCCGAGGTTCTCGCCCGGTGGTCGCGCGCGGGTGCCCACGCTGGGTCCGCCGTAGAGTGCACCGCGTAGCTTGCACCGCATATCTATCGGGGACTCGGAAATCCCCGACGAGGTCGTCAAAAAAATGGCGAGGCCGAGCCTGCATTTTGACGAGGCCTCCCGCTGCAGACATCCCACGAAACTCCTCCTCGTCAAAATCCGAGTCGCGGTCGTCAAAAAAAAATGGCGAACCCGAGTCCTGGCAAACCCGGGTCTTACGCTCCCCCGAATCTATATACACACACACACAAGACTTGAAACTCGATGCGCTTCGCTTGAGAGTCTTGGTGCAGTGCACGGTGGGGGCGACGTGTGGACCGAAAGGCGGCCCCTGGGCTGGACCCGGCAGCGTGCATAGGGCCAAGGAAAAAGAGGGCAACGGCAAAACACGACGGAAGATGGATGACGGGCGCGCGCGCGGGGGTGCGGCGGGGCTAGTGTCCACACCGTCCAGCAGGAGGAATTTAACTGGAAACTGTCCCAAATCTCTCCCCGTAATTTTGTTAGGCGTTTTCGCCCCAGCCGCTTGAGGGCGCCGTGATTCAGTCCGAAGCCGCTCTTGCATTTGAGTGTGGTCGGGAGCCTGTTGGAGCCTCTGGGGACGTATGTAATTATGGAGAGCCCGAGATGGCCATATGCGAAAAACAAATGCAAACGAATGACGAATCTATGAATTCGGGGTTCCTGGGAAATGAGTTTGGGCCCCCTCGGGCTCCTTGGGTGTCATTTTGGAGCAACTTCGAGAATCTGAAATGCTTTTGGGCAATTTTGCGGCCGCATCGGGCCGTGTTGGGTCTATCTTGGGCCCTCGTGCACCGATCTTGGCCGTCTCCTGGGCCTCTCCTGGAAGTCCAGGAGGCCTGAAGAGCGCCCACGAGGAGTACCTGGAGCCATCCAAATTCTACTTCGGGGGTGGTCGGAAGCCGTTTTGGAGCCTAGTTAGAGCCTGTGGGGGTGCATGATGTTGTGGAGAGCCCCAGGCGGCCAGCATGCGAAAAGCACCTAAACTAATAACAAATCTATGAATTCGGGGCTCCTGGGAATTGAATTTGGGCACCCCTCGGGCCTCTTGGGTGTAATTTTGGAGCAACTTGGAGCATCTTGGGCCATTTTGCGGCTGTGTTGGGCCTTGTTGGGTCATCTTGGGCCGTCTTGGAGGCATCTTGGGCCCTCGGGCATCGATCTTGGCCGCCCCGAACAGCGCCCGCGAGGAGTTGCCGGAGCCGTCCAGATTCGATTGGGGCGGGGCGTGGGACCCATCCTTGGTGTCAGATAGTATAAACAAGAAAACAGATATGTTGCACCATATAGCGTGCACGACATCTACTGTACCACATGGCTTGCACTACATAGACAGTACCACATTAGTGTTCAACGCATAGATTGTACCACATACCTTGCACGACAGAGATTGCATCGCAATGATTGCACCACGTAGGTGGCAGCACATCGATTGCACCACATAGTTTGCAACACACACATTAACCTACATAGATCGTGACACAGATATTGCGCCACATAGTTTGCACCACATATACGTCATCACATAACCTACAATGTATGTCTATGTGTGCGCACACACATATATATAGTTATATATACATACAGACACACATACAGACATACAAACCTATGTGTACACTGGCCTTTATACATATATACAACTATCTAGATACATAATTCGGCATATATATATATATATATGTATGTGTATTGACATCTCTTTCTATACATATATATATATATGTATCAATATCTAAGTATATATATATACACATATATATATGTATACATCCGTATATCGATCGACACAAACATGTACATATGTACACATGTAGGTTGGCATGTAGGTCGGTAGGTCGGTAGGTAGGCCAAAATGTAGGTAGGTTGGTGGGTTGGCATACATACATCTATGTATGCATGTATGTATGTATGTATGTATGTATGTATATATATATATATATGTATGTATATATATATATATGGGGAGATAGATCCGCCACCGTGCCATTGGCACGAAGTGGAGAGCCCCAAGGCTTACAGCCCCAATGGCCTGGACACCCGGTTTCCCGGGAGCTTCCGGGAATTTGCGGGAGCTCTTGGGGTGTGTGTGTGTGTGTGTGTGTGTGTGTCGCGTGCGTTTTCTGGAAGCCAGCAGGGTGCCAAGACGGGCCCAAAGGAACCGAGCAGGCCGCGAAGATGGCCCAAGAGAGCGTCGAATCGACTCAAGATCGCTCCCCTGATCCTCAACATGGCTTGAAGGCAGCCATAGGAGCCCCCAAGAAGCTCCAATGGGGGCCCCAAGAGCATCTCCCAGAGGCCCACATCATTTATTTTTGGATGAATTTGGCCTTCTCGCCTCTTTCAAATTTTAACGTTCCAAGGCAGCCCAAAAAGCGCCCAATAGTGCCCGAGGACTGCCCAGGAGGCCTTGAGGAGGGCCCCAAGACGCTCCAAGAGGGCTTCAAGACGGCCCAAGAGGCCCCAAACGGTTCCAAGAGGGCCCCAAGAGGGGGAGCACGAACGGACATTTCGAGCCTTCCGCCCCAAGAGCCCCCCTAAAGGCTCCCGAGGCCCACCAAGACGCCTCAAGACGCTCCTAGGACGCCAGGCCAGAGTCCCCAAGGAGGCCCCTCAGAAGCCCCCAGGACCCTTCCAAGATTCCTCTGAGGCATCCCAAGAGACCTTCATATGCATCTAAGAGGCCTCTGAACCACAGCCCAGGCACCGTGGCGGGATGGGCCGAAGGTCACTAGATCCGCCGCCCCATGTTGGCTTGCCACAGGGGTGCCCGGCGTGCTAGGTCCTTTCGGTTTTGGTCTTTTAGAACTCCCCCTGGGGCTTCGGCCCGTCCCGCCGGCACGGAATAAGGACCCGTAAGCTCTCCAGGTCGTCGGTCTTCCCGCGCCAGACTACCCCAAGATGACCTCCAAGACGGCCAAGATGGTTTCCAAGATAGACACGATGGCCCCAAGAGAACCCAAGATGGTTTGCACATGTTTCCAAGACGTCCCAAGATGCACCCAAGACGGCCCAAGATGGTCTCAGTGCCTAGGACGGCCCAAAGGCCTCCAAGAGATCCTCCAGGAGGCTTCTTCGGCGATCTTGGGGTGACCTTGGGGGCCACTTGGGCCGTCGGAAAGCTGAAGGAGCGCAAATGCCAAAATCCTTCAAGAACACAGCGACAATCAAAGATTTTCATTTTCACATCTTCGGGTCTTCCTGGAGGATCTCTTGGAGCTCTTGGGAGCCTCTTGGGCCGTCTTTGGCCATCTTGAGACCATCTTGGAACGTCTTGGGTGCATATTGGGCCGTCTTGGAGGCATCTTGGACTCTGTTGGGCCGTCTTGGAGGCCATCTTGGACCATCTTGGGCGAGCTTGGAGGCCATCTTGGGCCATCTTGGCCATCTTGGACGCCATCTTGGAGCCATCTGGAGGAGGAAAAACCTTTGCAACCAGATTTTGGGCGGTCTTTGGGGCCCAAAGACTGTCCAAGAGGCCCCGCAGTTCGCACAAGAAACCCCTAAGACGGCCCAGGACGGCCCCAGAGGCCTCCAAGAGGCCTCCAAGACGCTCCAAGAGGCCTCCAAGAGGTCCTCCACGAGAGCCCGAAGAGGCCCAAATCATTGATTTTCCTTAGGTCTTTGAAGGATTTTGGCATTTTCTTCTTTTCAGCTCTCCGACGGCCCAAGACGGCCCAAGAGGCCCCCAACATCGCCCCAAGAGCGCCCAAGAGGCCTCCAAGATAGCCCCATGACAGGCCAAGAGGCCCCCAATAGGCCCCCAACAAGACGCCCAAGACGGCCCAAGAGGCCCCCAAGACGCCCAAGATGGCCTCCAAGACGGCCAAGATGGCCTCCAAGACGGCCAAGAAGGCCTCCAAGACGGCGAAGATGGCCCCAAGATGCAACCAAGACGGCCCCAGATGGCCTGAAGATGGCCTCAGACTGTCCAAAAGGCCCGCCAGAGGCCTCCAAAACGGCCCAAGACCCCTCCAAGACGTCCTCCAGGAGGCCCGAAAGCTCGGAAACCACTTGGTCCGATAGCTCGCCCGACTCCGTGTTCCCCGAAGGCTTTCGAAACCCTCTCGGGAAACGCGTGGCCCGATAGCTTCGCCAAGCTCAAACCGAACTTTCGGCCACGCAGGCGCTTCCAAAAAGGCAGGGGGCGGCGGTGATTCGCCGTAGGCGTCTTCGATCCGCCGCCCCCTGTTGGCTTGCCACAGGGGCGCCACGCGTGCTGAATCCTAGACGCTTTGTTTTTGGTTCTTTTTCCCAAAGAACTCTCCCTGGGGCTTCGGCCCGTCCCGCCGGCCACCCGCAAGGCCGCACAAGGCCTGGAATTCCCACAAACAGATTCCCAAGACGGCTCAAGATGGCTCAAGACCGCCAAAATGCCTCCAAGATGGCCTCCAAGGCCGCCAGAGAGGGTTCAAAATGCCTCCAAGTCCGCCCACGAAGCCTCCAAAACGATCCAACAGGGCCCAAGAGGCCCCCAAGAGGCCCCCAAGACGGCCCAAGAGGCCTCCAAGAGGACTTCCAGGAGGGCCGGAAGAAGCCCAAATCGTTGATTTGTTTAAGATTTTTGACGGACTTTGGCATTTGCTTCTGTTCGGTCCTCCGACGGCCCGAGACGGCCTAAGAGCCCCCAAGGATCGCCCCAAGATCGCCCAAGAGGCCTCCAAGATGGCCCAAGAACGGCCCAAGAGGCCCCCAAGACGGCCCCAAGAGGGCCCCAAAGCGACACACGATACCTCCAAAACGCCCGATTCCAAGACTAAGACGGCTTCCAAGGGCGTCAGACGGGCCAGGAGGCCACCAAGACAGTTCAAGATGCTTCC